ACTTACTTACTTACTTACTTACCAACTACATACACGCACCCCGCATGTATATGAAGACCCACAGGCCGAAACTGTTTGAGTCTAGTCCGACCATTAATCGGCAAGCCCTGCATGATGAGCTTTGGCCATGGATTCCGGACCGAGGCCTGGAGGGTGAGAGTTTAGGGATGGATTAGGTTAAGACACGCAGGCCGGATGGTTTTTTGTTCAAGGTGTCAGTCGTACACCAACCGTCTAGAATCCTGTGGAAGCGAACTGTACATGAACCACACATTGAGGCCGATGCCACGATGATAACCTGCAAAGCTCAAAGCTTGCGATGCGGGAACCAAGCACACGAACTCAAAACCCTACACCTACCACCTGCAGCACAAGCCTACCATGCGTTGAATGAACAGTTTAGGGTTCACTGTTTGGGATCGACCCCCAAAGGTAGAAACCATGAAGGCATACCACGACTCTGCGGAAGTTAACATCTTCTAAGTGCAAGGCCCATCCAATCCGAGGCTGTGGCCTAACCCCAGGGCTCTCAATACTTCAGTGTCCCTACGCGGTATGATTTTCCAGCCTAAAAGCCTTAAACCACGAGTCCTCAGAGCTTCAGGGCAAGAGTAGGGAAGTAGGCACTGTAGCTTCCAGGGAGGCTTTGGGAACCGTGCTTAGGGATCGAAACCTGACGCCTAACATCTTGGACCCCAAACATCCCCAAACCCTATAGGCCCTAAACCTCCCGACAGACCTCCCCCAGCAAGTCCCAGTTGTGAGTGCTAGAAATCTTAAGCTCTCAGTCATGGGGGGCTTAACTCGTGCAAGTCACGCCGGCTTGCACCTGAGCCTGGCGCCAAGCCCGCCTGGCAATGTCCGAGAGTGAGCGCCAAAACCCCCAAAACCGCGCAGGCCTGCGACTGCGGAGGTGTCGGAGGAGGCGCTTCGACTCATTCCCGCATGTTCTAACTGCGTGGCTGGGGGTCGCCGCCGCTGCTGCTGCTGCTGNNGGTGGTGGTGGTGGTGGTGGTGCCCATGCGCCACAAGCCGCTTTTACGGTGGTTGTCTCGGTGAGTGATGCTGCTTGTGGTTGTGGCGATGGGGTGGGCCGAAGTTGCGGATATGTTGGCAATAGAGGATGCTAAGGCTGCTACTAAAGCGCTAAAACCATGCGCAAAGAACGTCGGCCATGACGAGGAAGATCTCGAAGACGAGGGGCAAGCCGATGCAGGACGCTGCTGGCGATTTTTATGTCCATGTGGTCGGCATGCGGTTGACTCTGTTTGGGGTTTGTGTGGGCTCGCCGAGGCTGTCATGTTGAGCTTCCGGCAGCAGCGTCGGATGTGTATGCCGAGTTCATGGTCAAAAGCTGTGGGGATGAACGTGGATGGGACGGGGGCGCATCCCAAATTTCCACAAAGGGCCCGGGCTTCCCAAAGATCATACCAGAACCAGGGTTGACCCTGAGCCCAACACGCCTGCGCTGGCCCATACGCCTGAGGCATCTGAACCCTCAATCGTAAAAGTCTTCTGTCCCCTGCCTACTTCAAGACGACAGATGCCATTGCAGATCTTGAACTCGGATAGGAGATGATGCGCCCCCAGAGAGCTGGGAGGAGCGAGAGGAGGAGCTGCGCAGAGCTGCTGTCCGGATGCAAAGCTACATGAGCCTCACTTCGGCTTCGTGTGGCCTGAAGGATTTTTCCTTGAGGTTGATAGTAGACTGAGAAAAGGTTTGGTGAGAAGTGGCTACGTTGTTGTGATGTCTAGTTGCAACTGACTCTCGCTCGAAGAAGCCCATTTCGAGGTACCGACGGAAAGCCGATATGGGCTCCCAAACACGACCCTAAAGGAAGGCGAAGCCTCGAAGCCACCAATATCGCTACTTGTAGCAAAAATGGGTAACAGTTGCATCTTGTACAGAGGGCTTTCTGAACTGGCCCCACTTGAGTGTCCGAAATTGCGCACCCAAGATCTCATTGCTGAATCTTACTTGTACCACGCACTCTAAAACCCTAAATCCCCGAGACATGTGAGCCCCAAACCCTCGCGCCTGACAGCGACGGAAATGCATCAGTGGCATGAAGTAGCGGAGCTTAGGAAGAAAGGAGTTCACTGCAGAAAAACAGCCAAACACCACAACCCCACAGAAGCTGTGAGAAGCGCTGTCGCCTGCCGTTTCGGCCCCTAGCCGCCCTGAGGGAAGGGCGCCCGGGTAGCCTTTTCTTTTTACGACAGCCTGGCCCGCCCTCTGTGCAGGCACGACATATGACGATGATGCTTCTTATGATGGGCAGGATGGTTCAATCTGCTGATGGCGACGGTGCTCAGAAGAAGCCGATCATGATACCGATGCTGAAGAAGGTGGCAATGATCACGATGGTCAGGGCGATCATAAGCATGAAACTGGTGACAATGCTGATGGTAGCAATGGTCGTACGTACGCACAGTCTTCATGTTTAGTGCAGCTGGTCGCCATGTGGTGAATCTAGAAGCCGTGTTGAGGGTCATAGTGCTAGCAGCTAGCACAAGGGCATAACATCGGTCTCACCTACACGAGTCTTCCTGCGAGGTGAGCGAAATGTCGGTTCAGGAGGCAAACGGAGCGCTGGAGCTAGCGTGCGGAGCTCAGGGCTGATCCGTCGATGTCGGCGATATCGGGTTGGTGCAAGCCCTCATTTCTACATTCTCTGAAACTGTTGCTCTCCGCGTCTAAACCATTATGCTGGCTTCGCATGGCAGGGCTTGATTTTAGGAGTGCTTCTTCAAGATTGAAGTCATGGTAGCTACCAAGCTGGACTTCCATGACCCTGCACAGGGATAATGCCGCAGAAGAAGTCAGCTGAGACCACGAGTCCCGAAGCCAAGGCACTCCCTACTGGTAGAAACAACAGCTTCAAGCAACCTTGCGATCCGGCGTGTCCTTCGGTCTAAGCTTCAGACCTGAACCCCCCAACTCACAAGATGCCTCGAGCAGAGCCCATTGCTGGACCCTAGCCCAAACAACTTCCGCATGCCCACGTGGCGCGGAGTGCTGTGAGGTTCAACGGCCTTGCAGACTATTACAGATGCTTGGCCCTGAAATTTCAGAAAGCTTGTTGCTGCAGGATCTTTGATGCTTTTGCTTCACGCCCTTCCTTCAGGCTCGGGGCCTAAGATCCGAAACCCGAACTACCCACGAGATCCAAGCCCCCAATCACTGCGGCTGATACGCAATGTCATTGGCCTCCAAGACTCCGTGGATCCTACACGGCAAAATACCGATGCAACAAGCCCTAATCGTTCGAGATAGGCAGCTCTGTCATGTCGGGTTCCGCCCATGCACCAGCCATAGCTTCTGCCCGTTCGGAAAGTCGGACGAATGGACTACTACTGGCTAATGGATTGAACAAGCAGTATTGTCAGAAATGACAAAGAAAGTAGAGGTGGCTGAAGCCAGCAGACTTCTATACCCAAGACAGGGACAGCACCTGAGATGCGGGAGGGCTGATCTGAAAAGGCGAGCTGGCAGCGAATCCAAAGGCTGCCCCCAAAGAGAAGGAAGGCTGTTTGGCCTTCGTCGCGGCAGAAGGGAGGCTAGACAAGGAGGACCGATACCCGGCGTCTTCGGGTCTTTCAGGGTTCAGGGTCTAGAGTTTAGGAAGTAGGATTTCAGGCTTAGGCTTCCGGGGGCTCATGCCTAAGGAAAGTACGACCGTTGTTGCTATTGCCTGCACTTTGGCAGACCTTCGAAAGAAAGCTCCCCAAGGCCCTAAACCGCAATTACCCTTGAGCCTAAAATCGAAAAGCCGAAGCACCGGAAGGATGTTGATGGGTGCATGACTCATTCAAAAGAAGCCTTGGAGAAGTTCAAGGCCTGTCCAGACTGCGCTGGGCTTTCGCAGTCCATGGATTCCATGGATTCATTTGAGGAGTTGGTTCACGGCTTTTTGTCTTATACCCTAAATGCCAAAACCCTAAACATAGAGACCTCATCTGGCTGTGCCGAGTTGCGAGTTCATGAACCCCTGAAACTTTTCGGTCGGGTTCGCGCTCAGGGGGGGTGCATGTCTCGGTTTCAAGTTTCGAGTGTCGGCTTGGGGGTCCAGAGCCTAAAAACTCAAAAACTCCTGAAGCCGCAGCCCTGAGCTGTGCTGGGCTTGAAGTGCTTGATCAACGCAACAGCTGAGAAGGCTAAGAATGCGAATGCAAGTGACATGCCAGGGTTTGAGGGTTGGTGAAGTGGTAGCTCGTGCGAGAGTGTAGCACAGTCCTTCGGACCTTCGTTACAACCCTTGCCTGGCTTCGTCAGGGCGTGGGTGCCAAAAATACCAAAGCCTTAAATCCAAACTAAACCCTAAGCTGAATCCGAGGTTTAACTTCACCTTGGTTCTCCGAGTCTGAGCGCGCCCAAGTGCGCCGAATCCCTAAAAACCTTACTGTATACCCGAAGCTCCCCGCGCCCCTAAGTTTCCCTCAAGTTCCTAAGTTGGCTGCTCTGGAGGTGTCCCTGCTTGTGCTTCGTTGTTCACGGAACTTTTTGAAGACTCTGTGTCGTCCTTTCTGCTTGTTAGCGAGCAACAGGAAAAGTGCTCGGAAGCCGCCTCAATGTGGCACTTGCCCTGTGTCAGGCATGCAAACATCCCACGGGTGTCGCTGATACTTTGAGCACCTGGGCCGACCTACGACGGGCTCGCATTCTGGCCTTGGGTGGTGTTCCGGAGTGTTGCGCTCTGTGTTCCCGGTTGTCTTGTAACAATTTAGATGTTTCAAAATCCACGAAACCCTGCAGGATTGTCGGATGGACCCGTAAGGCACGACCGTTTCTACGGGCAACGCATGTACCAGCGAACGCACCGGCTGCTAAACATCTCTGGCCTGTAAAAGCCCCGACAGCTGACTTTGAAAGGAAGCCTATGTTATCGTCCCCCACGCAATGATTAGAGCCGGGATGAGCCGGGTCCAGCTTGTTGAGTCCAGCTTGAAGCATTCAGCCCGCCCGTAGCTTCATCTGCCGCCAGCCAAGGAATGATGGTCTTAGCGTATCGCATTCAGGCAGATGTGCTGCGGAGTGCGGAGGAAGACAAGACCAAGGATATCAAGGTGCCCATTGTGCTGAACAGTAGTTGTTTTTGTCAGCTGGAGATGATAGTGTTGATTGTGGGGGCAACCGGTCGTGGTGCTGGTGCTGCTTGTGGGGCTGCTTTGCTGCTGTACGTAGTGGTGGTGGCTGCTGCTAGTGATAGCGATTGCCCTTCACAAAAATCATGATGCTGGCAGTGGTCACGAGCCATCATAGCAACACAGAATGCGATCGCACTCAATAGGCGAAAGCCTTCATGAAGATTCGATTCAGTTGTGTTTATATGCGTTCGCTGGTTCAGAGCTGACACTCGAATACTCCTGCGACCAGTACTTTCGGCGGAGTCTACGAGCCCAGTGGCCCTCGGCACAGGCGGCTCTTAGCACTGCCGAGTCCTTGGCTAAAGAAGAGGCAGCAAAGTTCAAGGAGGCACGGTCGTTTCTTTTGCTCCGGCCACAGATCCATAGTTTTAATGCACCCTTTCCCAGGTGCATGGTGCCTTCTGTCCCATACGGGCCACATAAGCCCAACCATACGACCCCGATTCCCCCTGCTTTGGTTGGAGTAGTGTGAAGCGACAGCATCCCGATGATATGAGGTTTTCGGAGCCGGACCCCTAGCTGTCTAACCGCCAGGCTGGTGATAAGCGCGGCGAGGCAGTGATGCCTCTGGGCTGATGGGAAAGGAAGATTCCTTATACATCCGGGGTTGGGAAGAGTCATCTCAGGACTGATTGCTGCTCCTTGCCTCAAGAACTCCTCGAGTCTCATGTCATGAAGCCCGAGAATCTGAAACACTAGAGTGGATTCTGAACCTCCAAAAGCTCTGAACCCCCCAAGACCCGACATCCCGAAACCGTTCCTGTGATTGCCAGTATTTCAGGAGGCTCCGCCGGGCACTGACGATAACTTCCCCACCACGAACTGCCTGGCATCATAAATAAAATAGATAAATACATAAAAAATGCATAAATAAATATGTATATAAATATATACAGACACACACACACACACACACATCTGTGTGTATCTCTGTGTGTACATATATATATATATATGTATATGCACATGTACACACACACATATATATATATAGGGATTCATTTTTTGGGTATATATATATATATCAGCAGTTATTCTTCACTAGGGTTTCGGTCAACCTGAAGCCGAGGCTTGACGTCCAACCTTTGGCCATAGCCCCCTCCCCCGGTGGTACCACAGTCTAACTTGGCCTCGGACACTAAGGCAGGCCATCGGAGTGAGAGAAATAGCCGCTACACCTTAACCTTAAACCAAAAACGGTTGGAATCCTCAACTCTGAGGCTTTCGTTGGGGATTCAGGTTATGCCTTTAGAGCGTTTAGGTATGTTTAGCTATTCGAAGAAGAATCCACGTGCATTTTGGGTAGTATTATGGTTACGATTACTACGACGCTTGCTGCTGCGGGTTCTGTTTATATTCTGGTTGCTCTTATTGCCATTAAGTACTATTCTTCTGCTTATTAACAATTACTACAGTATTATGACAATTCTGGTTTATTACCATCCGTATTATTTGAACTGAATGCTACTATTGTTGCTGTTATTACTAGCATTGTTTTGTTATTGTTAGTATTGGAATCTTCTCCCCATTGTTATTAGAGTTGGCTGCTATTATCACCTAGAGGGTTATTGTTGTTTTATTACTAGGGCAATTATTATTAGGACTACTATACCAATCCCGGCAACCCTATGCCGCCCTTCACCTTCAGCGCTGCTAAAGACTTGCATCCCAACCCAGGCTTCTGGCCGCCGGCGAGATCAACTACAACAAGCGAGGTTTCCTTTGGTACTTCGGGCTTAGTGTTTGCTTCGTATTCAGGTTGGGAAATCGGTTCAGCCTCACAGGCCCCATCAGTTTGCCCGTTCAGGGTGTGAGACAGTCATGGGATGGAAAATCCCAGATCCCGAGCCAAAGCCAAGCACAAGAGCTTCTCAAACTCAACCCCCACCTCCCTCCCCCCAAAAAAGAGCAGGCTTGTGTGCTTCATTGCCTTGGGCGCAGGAGCATTTAGGGTTGCGATGGTTAGGGGAATGATGGCGGGAGCTTCTTCAAATCTGCGACTGCTGGCGCAGGCGGCAAAAAGCGTGGCGAAGCCATCGAGGAACGTCCCCTTCTATCAGCCTGTCAACCGACACCATGTCGATGAGCATTGGGCTCTCAGGTCTTAGAGTCTTAGGGTGAAGGCCAGGGCTTTCATGGCATGACGTCTGCAAGGTCTGGAGCACAAATCTGCACTTAAAAGCTTATAGAGCTGGTCCTGCACAAAACGTCCTAGACTTGGCTCTTGTATAGCCTTCCGTCGTATGCAGGAGACTCCATCTTGTCTTGCCTTGCTCATGGCAGCATCGGTTACAATGACTAGAATCGCGGTGCTGCACGTAGCTCCCGCGGAACGAAGACTGGCTTATGGGCCCATCTCTCGTCGCACCACTCCCTGAGCCATTAACCAGAATGCATTCGGTTCGAGGGTCGTCCGGAACCCTTAAGTCGCAAACATGGCCTTGTGCAACCGAACTTTGAAGTGTGCTAAACCTGAAGAGCCCTTAGCCTGCACACCCTTAGAGCCCCAAGCCCCAACTAAAATCTTGCAGTCGAAGGCCGAAACTCTGTCCACTCCTCGTCCAGGACTTAAACAAGTCTAAGGAGCTCGCGAAGCAAGCGGGTGACAAGAAGGTCCGGGATATCAGCAGTGTAGGGTCAGGGTTGACAGAGAGGAAGGGAAAGAAGGAAAGTGTCAAGTAGTTACTATAGGATTATGAACCAAGAATAAGACACACAGTTCTTTGAAGCCTCTGGTTCCGAAGCTCGTTGTTTCGGGCGTCGAGTCTTGAGCACCTCGGAGAACCTTGCAGCTGCGGCATAGGTTTCAGTTGCAAGACGCCCCAGGTCCAGGTTCTGCAATCTGGAAGCCCGGCTGATGGTTTTGCTGACCACTTGACGTTGCAAGAACCCCGATACCCGATCCTGATCAGGACCCTACCCAGCGCCCGACTCGCCGACTCAGCCTCGGACAGGTCGAAGCCACGGCCGTCTTCGTCCAGGCGAATGCCGCGATTAAGCTTCGGATGAACGACGACCTCCGGCTGCGCCATCGGAGTTGTCAGGGGGTTCGGATGCCAGAGGCTGAACATGGGAATACACAACCCGACTAGGGAGTGCATGTCTTTCGTTAAGATACTTGTAGGATTGTGGGCCTGCAGCAGTGAACTTTCCATGTGCTGCATCAAGAACCCAACTAGATCGCATTTTTGCGCAATGGGTTGCCTGGATTGCCCTCTCCTTGAGAAGCTGCATCAGCCATCTCAGTCACACCTTGGAAGGCAACGATGCCTCGAAGCCTGCGGCCTCGCCCACCCTGATCTAACGATACAGCGCCTTGGTATTAAGTTCCGAACAGCTCAGGACTCCTACATGTTCGCGCAGGAGTCGTACCGGTTATACGAGGAGCTGAGTGGATCGGGGACATCATAGCCTGGATTGAAAGAAAAGTCGGTTCCGGCAAAGTAGGATTTGCACTACCTCCCCTGCTCCGCACCTTCGGCGCATCATAAACCGAAGCCGTGGCAGGACTCGTCGTCGTCGTAGTCCTAGCAGTAGAAGTAGTAGTCGTCGTCGTCGTCGTAGTAGTAGTAAGTCTGCAGTAAAAGAAGAAGTAGTAGCACGAGCAGGAGTAGTAGTAGCAGTAGTAATAGTAGCAGTCGCAGTCGCAGTCGCAGTCGCAGTAGCAGTAGAAGTGGTGGTGGTGGTGGTGATGGTGGTGGCAGTAGTAGTAGTAGTA